AGCACAGCCCTGCCGACACCTTGATTTTGGCCTCTGGCCTCCAGAGCTGTGACAGGACACATTCCTGGCCATCTGGCACGGCAGCCCCGGGAGCTCGAACAGTGACCCAGCCCGCGGTATCAGGGCGAGGGCTCGCGACTCCGCTTACCACTCGGGACACCTTGGTGGCATTTATCGGCAGGTAAAAGAAAAACAGCTTCAATCCCAGATACCGTGAGGGTTCTGGAAGCAGCTTCTGTGATCTTCAGGTGAGGACACAGAGGCCCCACTGTCCCCTCGCCCATGCCGCAACCCATCAACAAGGAGGGAGGCGAGGCTGGAGCCGGGCGAGCCCCGCTGTCTCCTTCGGGGCACACCAGCTCATTAGATTTACCAGCCCCTGCCTGAAAAAGTATTTAATTTGCCTTTTACAATGCACCAATTGCAAGTTAATTAACTGGCAATTGAAAGTTATAGGTGACGTTAGAATTTATTAATAACATTGGAAATAAATCTCCGTGGAATTCAAGTAATTGAAAATCTCATCAAATTCTCTTTTTTTATCATCCATAAAACAGGGCTGGGAGAGAGGTGTTCCAGAAACCTCAGGGGGTGGTTGGGATTGCAGGTGTGGGATAATTGGGTGGGAGGGGACTGCTCTTCTGACCTGGGCCCATCTCAGATGTCCGCCTGCCCCCCTGTGCACCACCTCGGTCACTCCTCCTAGGGACTGGGAAGGAGTCTTTCTCCCTTTGGGGATGTCCTGTGACCCACTGTGGTGATCAGAGCGGGGCACTGGGGACACATAGGTGTCCCTGCCCACCAGAAGGTCATAGCCTGGTGGGGTAGACAGAGCCACAAGGGCTGGGGCCCAGGGCCAGAGTCAGCAGTTCCTGCCCATCTGTGCCCGTGTGTACACACACATATACCAGGGGCTGGAGCCTGTCAGTGTTGGAGAAGAAATGTCGGGTTTGGTTTAGACACAGGAGAGAGGTGTGTGCAGGAAGCAGAGCCCCGAGGGTGGGCAGAGAGCAGAGCAGACTTAGGGAGCCCCTGGGGGGGTTGGGGTGAGGTGAGGTGAGGGGGTGGGCTTGTGCTAATGCTCCCTCATTAACCCCCTGGGTGGCCTGCGAGGGTGGGAGCTCCCTTCCCTGCCTCTCTTCCTGCACTGGGCTGATGATGCTCATGAGCCCCTCCCCCGGCGGGCTCGGGGGAGAGGGGCAGTTGCAGGTCCTGGAGGCCCCGCAATGGCACCCTGGGAGGGGGGACTCTGGGTGGCTTGCCTGTCCATTCTGAGTCACCACTGGGACCTGTAAGTGGAGTGTAGAGGTGCAGGCTGGAGTTTCCACCCATGAGCACAAAGACACAATATGAGACAAGCGAGGGCCGGGGAGCGGCCCAACTGGTCTCATTGGGCTGCAGGAGTCAGGGGAGGGGTTGCGTCTGAGGATTTTGTCCAAAGCCGAGAGCCGAGATCTGAGAGCCGCGCTGCCCCTGGGGCTCTAAGTGCGAGACCACGCCCCTTCCGACCTGTTCCTCCCACCAACCCCCAGTCCTGCAAGCACCCGGGGCCCCCACGTGGCTGGGGAGCCAGCACCCACAGGCCAGACAAAGACGAGGCCAGCCAAGGAGAGAAGCTCCGGCCCGTTGCCGGGCTGGTGCCGCGGTACATGCCACCTGCAGCAGGGAGGATGGGACCCTAGCAACAGGGCCAGGTTGCAGAGCCTCAGTTCAGGGCCGGGAACAGGGCAGCCACTGCAGATCCCTGAGCAGGGGGGCAGCGCAGGCAGGCTTGTGTTTCAGTGGGAGCCCTCTCTGGGCCAGATGGAGGGAAGGGGCCAGACTGACCACGAGAACCTGCTGTAGCAGCCGGTCCCCTGTGGGCCAGCTCCCTTCCCCTCCAGCATTCGAGGTCCTCCCAGATCTGGCACGCGGCAGCCGCTTCGGTCCTCCCGTGAGCGTTCCTTCTGTCCCGCACCCCGAATCTGTCCTGCTCCTCGGCCGGCAGCAGCCTTTGCTCACACTTGCCCCTCCTGGCAGTGCCATGCCTCAGGCTCCCGGTTTACGTGCACGCCATCCGCCTCCCGGAGCCACAGCAGCCAAGAGCCTGGCCTCACCAAGCCTCAGACCTGTCCTGAAACCCTGCTTCGCCACCAGTCGGCTGTGTGACCTTGAGCAAGCCGCTCAACCTCTCTGGGCCTTCGCGGACCCTCCACAAAACGGGGAAGGTGGTTCTGACACTAAAGCGAGGTGACCTACGCCCCATGTTTGGCGCGGTGCCTGGCCTCATCCTTATGAAGGACTGGCTCGTGACCACCTCCCCCAGGAGACCCCGTTCCCCAGCCCTGGCCCTCGGGGACTGGGGCCTCCCACCTGGAGCTGCTTCCCTCCTGCGCTCCCTTCCACTCCCAGCGACCTGGGAGCGCCTGGGCATCCGGTCCTGCCCCCGTGCTGGGGGCTCGCTCCAGAATCTGCTAGCCTAGCCCCCCAGGGCCCGCCCCAGACAGTTGCACGATCCAGGGCCAGGGGACAAATGAAGGCGTCCCATGTATCTAAATATTGAAAAGTTACATGTTGAGTTAACCAACTGAAATAAAATATGCTGTATGCTCCTACTTTGACAAATATCCTTTACAAGGACTGGGAAGGCCGGGCTGACTTCAGAATCCTGACCTCTCAGGGCTCTGCCCTAAAATGGGATGGCCCCGGGGGTGCCAGCCCCTGGTCCTCGGAAGCCCCCCCTCCCTACTAGCTGCTGTCCTGGGCCGAGGGGCCTTAGGCGCACGTGTGGACTGGACACCCACCCTGCGGGTCCGCGCTCCGTCCACACCGGCCAAAAGTGACAGCCCCCTGGACTTAAGAATGCAGATGCCAACAGGGAAGCAGCCTGCCCTTGAGACGTGCGGGGGGAGAGGCCCACACAGGAGCCTGAGCTGAGGCCCATGGGGCAGCACATTTCGGTGTCCTGGGCAAAGCAGATAGTCTCGCATGGCTTCTCCACCGCGGGTCTGGGAGAAGGAGATGCCTTCTGACCGGCTTCCCTGAGCAGGGGATGGCTCAGCTTGTCAAGAGGGCATGCAGTCCTGCAGGAGCCCCAGGGGCTGCACCGTTCCCTGGCTGAGGCTTCAGCCAACACAGGGGGTTACTCAGGGCCAGGGGTGGTGTGGGGGGGCCCAGTGAGCTGAGAGGGTGGCCTATAGAAAGAAAAAGGGGCTCAGCCCTCCAGGGGAGGCGCTCACAGCCCTGCCTCCCGCACCTGTGTGTACGCTCTGGGCACAAGGGGGCTTTGTACGAGGGGTTCCCCCATGAGCCGCCCTCCTCCGCCCCTCCAAGCCTTTACAGAGGCCGTTCCCCTGCCTCCAGTGCCCTTTCCTGTTTAGTCGACTCCCACTGACCCACTGGGAGCCAGTGTCCCTTCTCCTCCACGGCCCCTCCCCTGGCCCCTGACAGTTTAGGTGTCCCCCCTGCTGGGTTGCGGTGGCCCACAGCCATGTCCTGTGCCGTGTGTGCGGCACCGTCCTCACATCGGACCACACCGTCCCTAGGTGGGAAACTTCCAGGGACGGCCTCCCTCAGCACCTGCGTCTCTGTGGCCAGGAGCCCGGCTCCCAGGCCTCCCCACCAGCAGCGCCGCAGGACACCAGAGCCCCGGGGTGGGGAGAGCACCTTTATTGTCAGAGAATTCCAGACTTCCCGCCCGCCTCTGACTGCCACCGCACCTCGGCCCCCAGGCCGCTCCTGCCTCGCGTGGGGCAGGGGGAGGTGGCCGGGGCCTGGCCACAACCTCCCGGGAGCACCAAGGATGCCGGGGACAGACAGCTCCTGCCCTGAGGGGAGACACCACCCGGGGTGGCACCCAAACCTCTGAGTCAGCGGCTGAGACGGGGTCCTGGCCCAGCAAGAGAGGAGCACCAGGGCCAGTCTGGGTCACAGGGGACCCATGGCCTGAGAGGCCCTGAGGGCTGTGGTCTGAGCTGCTCTGGGGTCCCCGGCCCCGGGTGTCTGCTGTGGAGCCCGCTGCCTGGGCCCACAGCTCTGAAGGGGGCAGCGTCTCTCCTGACGGGGCCCGGGACTCAGACAATGTCCTGTCTCTAGGTGGTCAAGGGGACGTGGGACTTGCCACATGCTGCAGAAATGGCCAACCCTAGAGACTCCCAGAGAGGGCAGAGCTGCCGTCCCAGGAAATACTCCCTCCTCTGGGCTCAGGGGCAGGAGGGCCCTGCTGGGCTGGGTGGGTTGAGGCTGGGAGGCAGCGGTGGGCAGTGCCGGTTTGGTCGGAAGGGTCCTGCACCCCAGGGCCCCTCTCTCACTATCCCCAAGTCCGTGGGAGTGTCCCGGGTTTATTCAGGGTCTCCCTGGCGCTGCCAGACCCTGGAGCAGACCCCAAGCCCGGGGACGGGGGTTGAGGAAGGAGGCCCAGGGCCCTGCGTTCCTTCCCTGCCGGCCAGTCCAGTCCCCCCGCCGCCCAGCCCTGTGCCCACCCTGAGTTTCTCCGTGAAGAGAGGAACCTGGCACGGTCAAGGGTTAAGGACCCGGGAGGCCTGGGTTCAAATCCTGCCCCAGCTGTCCTTGGTCCCGTGGCCTCGGCAGGTTATTTATACTCGCCGGGCCTCCGTCCTCCCGTGGAAAGTGGGGATATCAAGCCTACCTCCTAAGGGTTAAATGAGACGGTGCAGGGAAAGCTTCTTGGATAGGCCCAGACTCAGTAAATGATGAGTATTAGGATTATTCTCACGCCTTGCCCAGCCCACCCAGATCCTGTCTCCTGCAGAAAGTGAGGGTGGGGAGGGCAGGGACCAGCAAAGGGCCCTGCCAAGGGTGCTGGGGCCCTCTGGACCCTGCCTCTGGAGCTGCCATCTGTCCCCAAGTCCCCCCAGGCCCTGGGAGCCAGTGTCCCTTACGATCGTCAGCGTCCAGAGCCCAGGCCCACTTGGGGTGTCTACAGGAGCCAGCCGGGCGACACAGGCCTCCGGGCCGGCTCTCTGGCAGGGCTGGGGCTTGTCCTGGAGAGCTGGCCTCTCTCACTTGCCGCCGCCGGCCCGGCCAGCCCTCCTCTGCCCGGGGTCGGGGCCGAGCAGGGCAGCGAGCATGCCGTCAGGCGGGGAGCCACCACGCTTCATCTTCAGGTTGGCTCTCAGGGCAGCGTCTTGGCCAGAGCCCCCCTCGGGGGAGGCCAGGGGATCTGGAAGGACAGCAGGAGGGTGGGCTCACGCAGGGCGTCAAGAGCACTCAAAGGCTCCCTTTGCTTCTGGTGCCCAGCCAGCAAGGAAGCCGGATGCCCAGCGAGGACAAGGCAAGACAGCAGCAGCCTCCCTGGTCACGCAGGCACCCACCCCCTCAGGCGTCCGCCTGCTCACCCTGCGGCCAGGGCTGCCCGGGGCTGGGCTCCAGGCCCTGCAGGGCTGCCGGTCCCCACCTGCCGCAAGGGCCTCCCACCCCATCAGTGAGCACGAGGCTCTGCAGAGCACCGTGGGGCAAGAGGAGGGTGCCTTCACAGAAGAAGAGACCCTAGAGCAGGTCCTGAAGCGGGAGCTGGTGGTCAGCCGGTGGAGGGACTGGCCTGAGCAAAGGCACGGAGGTGGGAACGGGAGCGAGGAGGGCCTGGGATGACTAGGTGGTGGCTCCAAGTCGCTGGGCACCAGGCCATGCTGGGCAGGGACTTGGGACTTGAGGTGCCTGGACATCGGTCACGGGCAGTAGGGAGCCACGGAGGGTCCTTGAGCAGGGGAGGCACAGGGTAGGGTCCGCCTGGGGTTTGGGGACGGCCAACTGGCAGCCAAGTGGAGGTGTCGTCGAGGCAGGCAGACCGGAAGGCGGCACGGAGTGGGGAGGCGGGGGCAGCGGGGCTTCCCAACTCCACGGCCAGCTGCAGGTCCGGCTGGCCCCAGGCCCTGGTCGCAACTCACCATGGATCCCAATCATGTGCTCCAGGATGAGGACTCTCTCTGCTAGGATCTTCAGGGCCTCCCGCAGCTGCTGTACCCCCTCACCCTGGCGGGGAGGAAGCAGCCAGGGTCAAGGCCAGCCACAGAGACAGGCCATGTCATCCCAGCCCTCCCCGCTCCTGCCTCCTCCCGCTTTGTTCCCATCCTCTCAGTACAACAGGCGTCCCAGCTTGGATATCCACGTGCCAGGCCTGGGGTTTGCACTCTTGTTTGCAGACAGGAAACCTGCTGCACAGAGAGGGTAGCCAGGGTCCTGTGGCCACACAGCCTGGCTTCACACCCAGACCCATCCCCCTCACGCCTCGGTTTTTCCTGCTCCGGGGGCTGCCCGGCTGCTTCCCCTGGGCGCCCTTCTTTCTGGAAAATGCCCGGCCAAGGGCAGAGCACCTAGCATGGGTGGGGGTGTTCCGCAGGTCTCCTGAGAGCTCTCCAGGTGTGGCCACCCCAGCAAGAGAGAGAGAAGGGAGAGCCGCTGCTCCTGGAACGTCAGCACGAGGGCACAGGGAGGACAGGCCATTTCTGGGGACCCAGCCTACACACGGGCAGAGGACCCTGGGCACCGAGACCTGTCAGTGAGCTGATTTATTGAGAAGACAGGTGTCAAGGCCACTTGGAAAAGGCAAGTGATGGTGAGGGGCTCAGGCCCCGCGCTGCAGTCAGTCCCAGAACAGTGCCTCTTGCTGGCATAACATGACAGCTCTGTCCTGACGTTCAGAGTTTAAAACAACACAAAGGGATGGGGCACCCGGGTGGCTGGACGGTGAAGCGTCCGACTCGATCTCAGAGCAGGTCTTGATCTCGGGGTCGTGAGTTCAAGCCCTGAGTTGGGCTCCACACTAGGCATGGAGCCAACTTACAAAAAAGCAAAATAAAAAAACGAAAGTAGAGCAAAAAGTGACCTGTGTTAAGGAGAAAGGTCCTCCCCCGCAGCGAACCAAAGGCCACGAGAAGCCACACTGGCGGCAGTGTCCGGGATGGGGGTTCAGGGCCCCACCTAAGCCCCACGCCCCTGAGCCACGGGATGCACGCTTACGGAAGGCGAAGGGAGAAGTCCTAAGTACCGTTTCCCTCTCCCCTTGCAAGTCTGCGAATCTCCCTGCGAATCTGTGCCCATGCCTTGTACCCACATCTTCCTCCCGCTGCCTCCTGTACCCACCACAGATGCTCTGGCTCCAGCCTCCCCCCTCCATCCCAGCCCACCTCCCCAGTCACCCCCAGGCTGGCTCAGTAGAGAACCCTAGATGCCCACTCTGCTGGCCGCCCCCCGAGCTCTGACACACCCAAGGGGATTCTTGCTCGCAGCCTGCAAGGTCTCCCCTGCCGGCCCCACTGCCCTCACCCCCTTTATCCATCACCCCAGTCCCCAGCTCCCCTCCTCCTCCCAGAAGACAGCAGGTGCCCATGGTCATGCCCGTGCTCCATCTGTGTCCCCTCCCGGCCCCATCGTGCCCCGGCCCCCGCCTGCTCCCATTCACTCCCCCACCGTCCCCTCCCACATCCACCAGCCCTCTGTCCACCTGCCCACGTATCCTTCAGGCCACCAGCGCCGTGACCCTGGGGGCACCGCCGCGCACCAGGAGCTGCTCATGGGGGATTGCTGTCCCTGGAGAGGGACTCCACAGCCTGCAGCCTCCATAAATGAGGGGTTCTCCCTGGCAGGGTCCCCCCGGTCCTCCGACCCCGGGCCAGTCCCCCATCTGCACGCTATGCTGCAGGCATTACGTCACTCACCGGCCTCCCCCGGCGGGCAGGGACCCCCTTCACCCCGTAGCCCAGAGCCCTGTGCCCTGTCCCTCCCACCGGGACACAGCCGAGGGGGCAGGAGGGGAGCACAGCCCCCAAGACCAGTTACCTCTGCAGCAGCTTTGTCGTCTTCTTGCCCCTTCCCGCCAGGCTCGCCCTAGGAAGAAAACCGTGCAGTCAACCACCGGTGTGCGTGTGTATGTGTGCGGGGCGGGGGTGAGTGGGGGTGCCTCTCTACCCTCCCCAGCTTCTCGTGCAGACCATGGGGGCTTGGCAGGGAGTTAGGAAACGCTGGGCAGGCAGAGCCTGGGGACAGGGGTGCTGGGGCCCAGAGCTTGACAGTTGCACCCAGTGGAACTCCCGCCCTGGGGTGAGCAGAGCAGGGGAGCGCCCAAGGCCCCACGCACCCCTGCCCAGCCCGGCATGGTTTGGCTTGGGGGCTTCACTGGGCTTCAGGTTCGAGAACCCGCAAGCTCAGGTCTCAGCCCTGCCAGGAATCAAGTCCCCGCTTCTCTCTGCCTCCACCCCTAAAACAAGGCCAGTAATATTGGCCTCACAATAATGCCCACGTGATATCCAATGTGACTTGGAGCAAGTTACTTGACCTCTCTATGCCTCCGTGCTCTCATCTCTAAAACGGGGTGATACTGCCTACCTCCTGGGAGTATTCGGACTAAATAAATCAATACTGATAATGAGCTTTGATTGGAGCCTGGTGCCCGAAGTTCGGGGACAGGAATCACCATCATAACCAGAGAGAAGCCAGGAGGAGGCATGGCTTTGGAGGCTAACACTCCCGGGTTTAAATCTTGGCTCCATCATGGCCTCACTGTGCAACCTTGGGCAAGTTACTTAACCTCTCTGAGCCTTAGCTGCCAGTTCTCAAAAAAATGGGGAAAATAAAGTCCTGCCTTGCTGGGTCGCAACTAAGCTTAAACTCACTATGGATGAGGAGCGCCTCCCCTCCCAGCACATAGGAGGTGCTCAGCAAAGCTCCATCCCTCCTCCCTGGCTCTCTGCCCCTAACTTTAGAATCGGTCACAGAGGAGGTGCCTGCCTCCTTGGCCCTGCAGGCAGGAGTGGAGACTCATAAATTCTTGTTTCCAAGGAGGGAAATTCGAGGCCAGCTGTCGGCGCCCTTACTCCTGGAAGGTTCAGAGGAGGGAGGAGCTCCGAAGGCCACACAGCATGTTAACTCAGGGGTCTGGGCTCCCCGGAAGAGACCTGAGGATGCTCATCCAACCCCCTACCAGGAGGCTACTTCAGTTCTTGCTCACACTCCCAGTGAGGGGCTCCCCACTTTCCAAGGGCACCCCTTCCCACCTCGGGCAGCTGGGGTCACAGGCAGGCGGCCCCTTCTCTGGGCAGGGCAGAATCAGGCCATGTTCAGGGTGGCTGTGGGGCTGAGCTCAGGCCAGGCCGGGACAGACCCCCCCCCACCCACCCGGTGCCCTGGGCCTGCACCCGAGCCCACCGCCCTGGGAACGGCCCAGCAGCCCAGCCCCCCACTTACAGCCGGTCCTGTCACGCCCCGCTCTCCGGCCAGGCCCTGCAGAAAGGCAGACAAAGCAGAGGAGTCCTTGCCTGCCCCCCTAATACCTCCGGCCTCCCCTTAGCTGCTCCTGCCCCAGGATGGGGGGACGATGGTGTGCAGATGGGAGGGCCCCTCCCGGGCCACCCTCCGCTGGCTCCTCCCTGAGCCCAAACCCATGCGTCTAGCTGCCCTCCCACTTCTCCACCTGCCCACAGGGGGGTGCCCCACTCCACCTCCCCCAAGTGGAACCCTGGGTGCCCCCCCCCAAACCCACCGCACTCTGCAGCCACCTCCCAGGGAGATGGCTCCCTGTCCTCCCAGCTGCTCCCACGCACGCCCAGGAGCTAACCTTCCTTTCCCTCTCTTGCCAAATCTGTTCCATGCACCAGACCTGTCACCTCCACTTTCTAAACACGTCCGTTCCCTTCGCCGCTTCCAGTGCCACCACCTGAATGCAAATCACCTTCTCTCTCCCCACATGCTTCCGTGTGTCTCCTCCCTGGACTCCCTGCCCCACTGCCCCCCACCTTCCGCTCCCCGACCACAGCCACAGCCCGAGGGGTCTCTTAAAGATGTAAATCACATCATGGGGTCTCCCTCCCTGAGACTCAGAGCCCCCCTTCCCTGTGACGGAAACCCACACTCCCACAAGCCTTCTCTCGGAGGGTGCCCCTGGGGTGCCTGGCTCTGGGGGGCCTGGACTCCCCATTTACCTGGCCTGTCGTACCTGAGTCAGGAACAGATCGGGCCTGAGGGCCTCCTGCCACCTCTGCAGCCCCAGGCCGCCCAGCCCCCAGGCCCTGCCCACCAGCCGGCTCTGGGCCCCTATGTTCCCGGCCAGAGCTCCTGGCCACCCCTCCCCGCGGCCGGTGTGCCTGCCTACCCCCTCCAAGCTGCGTCCTCCTGGACGTAAAAATCCCCAGCAGGGACAACAGGAAGTAGATCCGGAGTCAGGGGACACGGGTTCTGAATGAATGTACACTCTACCAGGCCACACTGTGGCCCCCCGGGCCTGGCTGTACCCTCGGCTCGGGCTGTTGGCACCCTGGCTGTTTGGGGTGTGTGGACTCCCGAGGTCCCAGCACTTACAGAGCCAAGGCCCAGACTCCCGCCCCTTGCAGCATGGGGGTCACCGCTAGGCACCCCCTCCCCGCCCAGCTGAGCCTGAGTTCCAGGGACAGCGGGGCGCTAGGGCTGGGCGGGCCCTAAGGTGGGGGCTGCAGGAAGCCCCACCAGCAGGACACCCACCCCTTCTGCTTCCGGGCTGCCCCTCCCCGGGGTGATTTCTTCCCAGGCCCCGGGCTTCTGCAGCACGAGGCCCTTCCCCTCCCAGCACTTTTTTTTCTCCCTTTTTCCCTCCAACAACCCACAAGGGAAGCCTTGGACCCCCTGCTCAGCAGCAAAGGCGGCCGGAGCCCAGAGAGGTTGTCTCTTCACCCAAGGTCACACAGCTGGAGAGGCAGAGCAAGCTGGGGCTTGGGGCCATGTCGCCAGGCTTTGGGGCACTCTCTCCCACACAGGTGACTCTTGGGGAGGAGGGCGACAGGCTGGGGTGGACATTCTGTGACCTGTATGTCCTCCAGAGGCACCTGGCCTCTCTGGGTCCCATTAGCTCATCTCTGAGATGGGAAGGGTGCCAACACGTCCCCAGCATGGGGGGTGGGCAGCCAAGGGCCGCCCCTTCCTCAGCAACTCAAGCTGGGAAGAAGCCTGGCTCTTCTTTCTCAGAAGACAATGCCCCCTCCCCTTTGGGCAAGTCCTTACCTGGGATCCAGGGACACCTGGGGGTCCTGGGGGACCATGTGGTCCAGGGGGACCTGTGGACAGAGTCACAGATGGTCACCCGGGGCCAGCCCCCTGCCCACCCTATATTGCAACCTGCTCTTCTCTCAGAGCCTCATCTAGGGGGTCGCCCTACACACCGCCCAAGCCCCCCCAGCCGGCCGCTCTCCCAGCAAATCTCTCTCAGGCCTGCCCCTCCCCTGGACCTAGGACCCTACCCCTCCAAGGCCACCCTTCTTGCCTGAGTTACTACAACAGCGTCCTGACCATCCACGCTCCACGTGGCCACCCAGAGCCACCTTCCGGTTAGGTCCTTCCCGGGGTTCCTGAAGTCCTCAGCCGGGCCCCCTCCACCCTCATGCCCCCAGCTACTGTCCTGGAAAGTTCCTTGGCTTCTACACTTCTGCAGATGCTGTCCCTTCCTCCTGGAGCTTCTCCATCCCCCCCAAGGCCCAGCAAATTCTTTCCTACTGGCCTTTCCTCTAGTCTCAGGCTGAGCATCACCTCCTCCAGGAAGCCTTGTGGCACCTACCCCCACCCCTCCTCTAGGCCAGTCCCCGACAGGGACCAGCCTCCACCCATGGCCATGGTGGATTTACAGGTCCATCCCTGGGGGCCAGGGAGCACCCAGAGGGTCAGGCTGAGTCTGGTGGTTGCGGCACAGGGAGCAGTGTTCCTGCTTAAACTTTCCACATGACAGTGAGGCCTCTGGGAGTCCCCTGCTGGGCTGTACCCATGCTGGGGGAGGACCTGCAGGAAGTGCCCCCCCCCCAGGTGGGCACAGATCTGGACTCTGTCTAGTTAAGAATGCCCTCCCTCCAGTCAGAGCACATGCCCTCCCCAGATACCCTCCGAGCACCTTCCCTCACCTCGGGGCATTTGCTCAAATGCCACCTTTTTAAAAAAGAGACCAGGAAACTAAACCCCTGCCCCAAGTAGGGAGAGCTCAGTGACTACGCGAAAGGGTAAATGAATGATGGGGGGACAAGGCACCCACACACTTGGCAAGCAGGGCTGGCCGCTGCCCTGCACGCCCCTTTCCTCCCGTCCAGGGAGGGTCCCCGGAGGGTGGGAGTCAGGCCAGGCCCAGGATCCAGCCCCTTAGAGCCCCAGGACCATCCCCTGCCCCCAGTGCCCCTGGTTTCTGCCAAAAGGCCCAGGGCATCCTGCCTCTCATAGGCACCTGCCCTACCAGCTCCTGGGGCCAGCCCTGTGCTGACCCCCCGCCTCCCCCTGGGCCTGGGCCTCCACGTACCCCGGCGCAACCCCCACTCAGGCCCACATGGGGGCAACCCTGAGCTGCTTCTTGTGGGCAGCAGGCAGAAACATTTGGGGTTCTTGTGTCCAGCCCCACAAAGGAGTTGCCCCCCAGAAGCAAGGGAACTCGCCAATCCCTAGCACCCTGCCAAGGCCATGGGCCCCCAACCGGCCCCACAAGGCCCCTTGGCCCAGGCCAAGCCCAGAGGGGGTGCCCAATCCAGGCCCGGCTCTGCGGCTGCCCTCTCTGCACTTACCTGGAGGGCCAGGGGGGCCCCGGGGCCCTGGGACGCCAGCCAGCACTGTGTCCACGGCTGCAGAGGCCGGCTGTGAGTCTCCGTCTGTGGGCAGAGCAGAACCGCCCGTGACCCCGTGGGACAGGGCTGGGCTGCTGGACCTGAGCTCCCCCAGGGCCAGGACAGGCACCCCCAACTCCACTGGGCCTCATGCCCTGGCAGGCAGATGCTATTCCTCCCACGGAGGCCAGGTCAAAGGGCAGGGAAAGCCCAGAGGGGTTCATATAATACACAAACTCCTCCCAGAGCATTCTAGGCCCTTCAGAGTCTGGCCCCGCCCTACTCACCTCCCCAGTGTCCCAGGCCAGAACTCTCCTCCACCCCACTCCACTCCACAGGTCCTTTCTTGATGCATCTGACAGCCTCACTCCTGCGGGGCCTCCTCCAGGAAGCCCCCTCTGCCCATCCTTTTGAGTTGCAGGGCCCTGGGCTGCCACTACAGGGCCCATTACTCTGCCTGGGGCAGGGGTGGGGTCTGTTCGTGGCCGAGCTCCTGCGATTTGTGTCTCTCCAGGGCAAGCCCCATGTGACTTTGTCCTGCCGGGTCCCCGGAGCCAGACCCAGAGAAGCCAGGCCCAAGAAGTGCCTGGGACAGGAGCGGCTACCTCTGCTACCTCTGCCCTTTCCCCCACGCCTGGAAGCCTGGACCACAGGCTCACAGCGGGCGGGGCCCCACTGGGGCATCTCCATTCTTCCCAAAGCGCACACCCGGCCCTCCCTTGGGGACCCCAGGGCCAGGGGGTAAGGAGGGTCCCATTTGAGGAGGGCTCTGAGCACTCCAGATGGCAGGCAGTGCCCGAGGCATCATGCCCAGACCGGGGCAGGCTGGAGCCCTGGGCCTGCTCCTTGCGGCCCCGGGGGTGTGTGGCTGAGCCCTGTTTGTCTCTCTGAGTCTTCAGTGAGTTCCCACTTGCTCCGGAAGGCTCTGCTCTCGCCGGAGGGCAGCCCAGGATCCCCATTCTGCTCAAGAATGAGTCCTTCCCATCCACCAGAGCAACTCCATTGGGGAGTATTAACTGCCCCCACTCTAGAGGTGGGGAAACTGAGGCTCAGATGGGGACAGAAGCACCAGCAGAAGGGGGCTAGGGTTTCTCTGACCCAAAGAGGTCCCCATCCCCCACGGTGCCCGGGATGTCACCCAACCCCTGTCACCTGCTTCTTAGAACCCTCGCCCGGGTTCCCAGGGCACTTAACCAGGTGACACCCCTTTTGCCCTCCCCACCCCACTCTCCGGGCCTCTCTGTTCCTGCCCTCCCCACAAGTAGGCAGGTGTTTCTGGGTTCAGAAACACCGGACTGTGGCCCCTGAGGGCAGGAGTCTGTTTTGCTCACTGCTGTATCCCCAGCGACAAAAACTGTGTGCATGACACATAGCAGGTGCTCAACCAACACTCGTCGAATGGCCTAAGGCCAGGGGCTTTGGCTTTGTGTTCCTGTCACCGAGTGGGGAAACCAAGGCCGGCCAGACAACAGAGCGACCTGTGGGGGGTCAGGACCCCAGGGGCAGGAGCTGAGCACCGGGACAGGAACCGGCCAGGCTGGGGTCAAGAGCCGGGTTGCGGGGCCAGCGTCAGCCCCCAGAGACCCTTCCACCCCACCCAGCAGAGCCTTGCTCCCAGGCCCCGCTCCCTAAGGGTCTGCTTCCCCAGGGTCCGTCCCTCGGGGGACACTCACCACCCTTGTCCGTCGGCGGCTGCAGGGAGTAGAGGACGCCCTGGGGGCCGTTCGGAGGGAAGCCCGGGCTGCCCGCTGGGCCAGGGGGTCCGGGGGGCCCGGGGCGCCCCGTCTCTCCAGGAAGCCCGCGGGGCCCTGGCGGCCCCAAGAGGCCTGCAGCGGGAGAAGAGGAGTCACGTGAGGGCTGGGCCTGGCAGCTGACACCGCCGATGGGAAACAGGTCAGTGGTGGCCTCCAGACCCGTCTCCTGGGAGGGCTGTCCTGGGATGTGAGTGAACATGGCTTTCTCTTCTGGCCTGGGGAGCCCCGGGGCCGCTGGGTGGGAGGTGAGGGAGGCAGGGTCGCCCCCTCCAGAGGCCTCAGCTCTGGGGTCGGGGCACTGAGGGTGGCAGCCAGCCTGGGCTGACCCTATACCTGCCTTCACAGAACCTGTACCTTCCCCGCAGGACCCTGGGGGTGTTGGGGGGGCTCTCTGGAGGTGTTGTTTCAATGGCTGAGAAGAGTCCCCAGGCCCCAGCCGCCCCACCCCCACGCCTGGACCCCCCAGCTCCCGGAACCTTCTGTTCTTCCTGCAGCGTCAGCCCAGGCCCTAAAGGCTTTGGGATAGGGTTGGCAGTGGGGTTGCTGGTGGGAGGAAGTGAGCCTGGGACCCCCGCCAGGACGGCAGTCATTGACCCCAGCGAGATCAGGGGTGCAGGGTGCCTCAGCTGCTCAGATAGGGGAGAAACCCCAGCCCCTTCCCCCAGTGGACAAAGTCAGATCTGGGGGGGTCCTTACCAGGAGGCCCTGCTGGGCCCTTCTCTCCTGCCTGGCCCCGGTCACCCTTGGAGCCTGGGGGACCTGCAGGCCCTGGCGGTCCCGTCTGCCCCGGGGGCCCTGAGGAGAGAGTGAGATGAGCCCTGAGAACACTGTGGGCCGAGCTGCCACGGAGGGGCTCCAGGCCTGACCACCTGGGCCATCAGGTCAGACCTGCTCCCAGGAGCAGAGACCTCATTACAGTCTACAAACCATTTTTGTACCTATTAACTCCTACGATCTCAAGAGCTGCTTGTGTTCCCACTTCACAGGTGGGGAAACTGAGGCTCAGGAAGGTGTGGTCCCTTGCTCAAGGGCCCAGAGCCAGGCTGCGGATGAGTTAGGCCCCTCCCTCAGGAGTCCTACTGTCTCCCTGCTCAGGGTCGGGAACGGCGCTTGTGGCAGAGCTCCCCAGTGAGGCCTCATCGGAGGTCCCAGGAAGCCCTAAAGCACACGGGTGCCCAACTCACCTGCTCTCAGGGATTTCAGGGCGCGCCCCGGTGTCACCATTTGTAGGGGTTGTGCCCCACCTGGTGGCCATTTCTCGGAACTGCACCTTGCCTGGTGAGGAGAAAGCGGCCCAGGAGCCCCAGCGCCCCTCCCAGCCTCCCCCACAGGGGGTTTGGGGCCTAGGTCTTCTGAGGGCAGAGAAGTGCCCCTCCTCCCCAGTTCCAGAAGAAGGATTTGGAAGAAGGCAGGCAGGGGCAGCTGCCTGGACGTGAAACTTTGGGAGGTGGGCCTGGGGACCCAGAATGAGATGCTCCCCCCAACCCTGAGCTCACCCCTCCTCCCACAGCCTCCAGCCCCGTCAGAAGATCCCAGAGTGTCTGCTCCTCCCAAGACTGGCCACCGGACGCTCCCACTGCTGGGGGCCGTGCCCTCCCTGCTCTGCTCCTTCTCCTGACTGGCCAGGCACAGGTGGACGAGGTGAGGAGGGAACAGGGTATGAGCTCAGAGCGGAGGCTGGGCAGGGGTGCTAAGAAGCTGGGGGCTCAACTTCGAGAGAGGCGAGGGAGGGAGAGCGTCACCCGCACAGGGCTCTAGTGGGGCCAAGAATCATCGAGACAATATGCCCCTGGATCATGGGCTGACCCCAGGGGTCATTTCTCTGGGCCTTGGTTTTCTCCTCTGGAAGCCGAAGCATTACAGACTTACTGGAATGATTAGAAATGATATCTGTGCAGCCGAGGGTGATATGAAAATATTTATTAACTAGCCCAGCAGTTAACCTCACAAGCAGAAAGTTCAGCAAGGACCCCCCAGAAGGTGGTGGGAGGCAGAAAGGTCGCAGTAAAATTGAGCCAGAAGGCTGCGGCTGGGCTGGGGGTCTGAGTGCAGATGCTAAGAGGCAGTGGGGCAGGGCGTGAGGACATGCACGCAACTGTGTGCACCCACGACACGGAAGGGTGAGGCCCTATAACGGTTTGGATGGGGTCTGCAGGGGCGGTTGTGGCCCGGCGGCAGCCAATGGTTTCCACGAGGGGCTGAAGCCCCAAAGGCCAGAGCTCCTATTTTTCTAAGAGAAGCTTTCTAGAAATCCTGATTTTCATGCGAAACCCCACAGTTTTGAAACGTTAGCTCGGTTTTTCAAAATACCATGTGAGGGCACTCGATCCCAAGGGCCTACGGTGCAGGCCTTCACTCACCGGCTGGGCCCGTGGGCCTTCTCCTTCGGGGCCCTGGGTGGGCCAGTGGGATGGCATCAGGGAGGAAGTCCTCGTTCCAGGGTGGTAGGGTGCTCTGGGGGGCTGGCAGGTCATTGCCCGGGCCTGCGGGCTGCCCTGCTGCTTCCAGCAGAAGAACCTGGGCCGGAGAAGGGCAGAGGGTCAGGACCCCGGGCAGGCCAGAGAATCTGGTGTATGCCCTATGAGACCTGCAGCTGCCCCAGGCCAGGTATGGGTGATCACTGCTCCCCCTGCTGACATGTTCCCCGCACCCCTGCCCTCCTTCTCCTTCCCATTTCAGGAGAGCCCCCCCCAGACCTGGGGCTTGAGCAGGTCGCCCCTGGGACACCTTCATACTCCCTGTACTCTTCTTCTGGAACGGCCATCCCCATGAGGAGAGCCCTGTGGTCACCGTCCCCCCCTTCCCTGGCTCTTCCCAAAGGAGGGACTGAAAAGATACCAAAGGGCCTGGCTTGGGAAATGGTTTTTAGTAGGAGCTCTAGGAAAACAAAAGGTGGCCACGCGGGGCCAGCACGGAAAGCTGCCCTGTCCTCTCCCCTTGAGAGAGGTGGGGGGTCGAAGCCTGGGAAGACCCAGGGCCTGGGCGGGGACGCTGTCCTCCCTCATTCAGGTGAGCTGGAAGCCAGGCCTCAGAGGCCCCAGGCAGTCCCTGCTGTCCCCAAAGAGGTCAGCAGGGGGCGCTGTGCACCAGGGATCTGAACAAGGCCACGGTGACAGGGGGCGGAGACCCTCTGGAGGCCCACCCAGACCGAGAGGGGTCCCCGGGGCCAGTCCAACAGAGCCTGGCTTCCTGCTCTGCCCATCGCGAGCCCCTAGTCTTTGCACCCTGATCTGCCCCAAGGGGAGGACGTCTAGCGTCTCAGGTTCCCTCTAGTTCTTGGGAGCCAGAAGCCTGCGTCTGCTAGATTCCCTGACTCCCCAGCCCCACATCCAGGAGGGCCAGGCCTGTGCATTTGGCCTCCCCCAGGTCCCGGCTGCCTGCCCCCTCCCCGCTCCTGGCGCCGCCCCCACAGGAGAGGGTGAGGACACCTTGCAAAGCGAACCTTGAGGAGCCCCCCAAACCACCAGCGTCCCGACACTTCGGGGCGCCCTTCTGGGCCTGCCCTGCTCCTCCTGGGCCTCAGCAGCCTTGCTCCAGCCACCCTGAACTATACCCCAGGGCCCCTCCTGCCCCGACTCCGCCTCCCCCCAAGCCCTTCCCTTCACACCAGAGCCCGGGGACAATCCTAAGACTCCAGTGACCCTTCCCCCCACACCACCCCCCCCGGCAGTCTGTCTGACCCTGTGGACTGAGGGTGTCCCCTCCTGTGTGTGCCCTCAGCCCCTGCACCATCGCTTTGTGTCAACAGCCCGTGCGCCCACTCTCAGGGTCTCCATCTGCAGTGGGCCAGGGGCCCTGGCACCTGCAGCCTCCCCCCTCGCAAAAGACCTTGGCTCGCTTCTTTGCGGGGCACCTCCTACGCAGACTCCAAGGCCCACAGAGCCCACGGACCTGGGCAGAGCCCCAGCCACAGCCAAGTTCGCATCAGCCCCGGCCAGAGTCCAAGGCCGCCGGGCCTGGCCACGGCCGACCTCCCGGACAAACTGATCCCACCCCTGCAGGCATGACCTCACCAGGGCGGGCAGCAGTGGGTGTGGGGGCTCAACCCAAGAAACCCAGACTGTGGCCAGCCTTGGAGGCCAGTGGTCCTGATGACATTACTGCGGCCTGGCTGATTGGCCGGGAGGCCGTCCTCCTGCCCCAGAGACCAGCTAAGTCGAGGCTTCTGAGACCCTCACACAGGGAACCCCCCTCAGGCTCCCTCCCACGCCATGCGGCCATGGGGTCCATGAAGTCAGAGTGTAAACTGAGGGGAAGGGGAGAGAGGAAGTCAGGAAACTTCTGCCTGCTGACCTTCCACCCCACCATCCCCCTACCTCCATCTGACCCTGTCCCGGGAAGAGGGTGGCAGGACTCCCAGATCAGCTCCTAGGGCTGGACCCTTTGCGAACTCAGGCACCAGCAGGGAGTGAAGATGGAACAGACCCTGATGGCTGCCTGGCTCAGGAACCCCCTATTAGGTACCTTTGGGTGTGCCCCAGAGGAGGAATCATGACTGGCCAGGTACCTATTTTCCCAGCTCCCTTGTGACTAGGAGGTGGGCAGATAGCCCAGTGCTGGCCAATGAGACACACGAGCCTGTTAGGGTGCTTTGCAGTAACCTCTACTTCCTGCTTTTGAACAGGTATAAGGATGTGATGTCTTTAGCTGCAGCAGCCACTTTGTAACCATGAGGCACTAACCAGGAGGACAAAAGCCAACTCACTAAGGAGGTGGAGGGGAAGGCTGTGAAGAGCCTGAGTTCTTAAGCCACCAAACCAACCCCAAGACCACCTACCGCTGGACTCCTTGTCAAACAAACAATAAATGTCCTGAAAGAATAAGCTGCCATTGGCTGGGTGTCTGTAACTTAGAGCTGAACACGTCCCTCCCGGCACACCAAAGCAGCCTCCTTGTCTCAGAGGGCAGAAGCCACAGTTTCCAGGCCTCTGGGTTGCTGCTTTTGTATGCCAGCCCTCAGGTTTCTGACGCCCCATCTGGAGTTCGCCCCCCTGGCTCTCACTGGCCTGGCCACAGCCACTGACCCTGCTCCATGGTCTCTCTGACCCCGGCAGGCAGGCGCCTGGCCTCAGCAGAGGCTGTCCTGGCAGCTAGGCCAGCTTCCGTTCCCCTCCCTCTCCAGGCTGATGCCTCTGAGGGCCCTGTGACCTGGGCTGATGGAACACCCAGGGGCTCGGTTTCCCCAGGGGACACAAGCGTGTTCGCAGGCAGGGACAAAACTGGCAGGTGACCTGGAGAAGGCACAGGAGCTGAGGCAGGAATCAGCCCACCCTTGACCTCGGGGGTGGCAGCCACCTCTCCGCACAGCCCAGACTCTGACCACCTCCCCTTCTCTGCCCCGAAGCTCACCCCCGTATACCCACCCCAAAACAACCCGGTGAGGGGCAGCGAAGTGACTCCTTCCGTTTCCATTTCACAGGGCAGCAGACTGAGGCCCAGGGCTGAGCAGGGACCTGGCAGGGCAGAGCCATTGCTGGGCAGGAAGCCTATCCCAGGCTCCTCCAACACCTCCTGCTGCCCCCCTGGGTCTGCAGAGGGGTCACGACCTTCACCTTGGAGCCAGGGAGACAGCCCCCGCCCCCCAGAGCCCTGACTTTTAACACTCCGAGGTGCCGGGCCAGGGCCAGGACGGCTGTCGGCAGACACTCTGCCAAACCACGCAGGGCCTCAGGAATCTGGAAAATGTCCTTCAGGCCAGCTGGCTTGGGGACCCCTCCTTTTGTTTGAAATCTTGGGTGCCAGCAGTTCACCCCGGCATCTTCCCCAGGGCCCCCCACCCTCCCAGGGCTTCCCCAGCCCCGGCTTGGCCCAGGTGGCAGCATCTCTTCCCTGAAGGCTTCCACGCCCGCCCCGAGGAGGGTACGGGGTCCCCCACCCCCAGCCTGTGCCCAGGGGTCTGGGCTGCTGGGGGACCCTCCCACCTGCAGAAGGCCTCGGGGACAAGGGACGCCGTTCGCCCCCTGGGGCTTCTCATGCCGTGTGCTCTGCACGGGGTTCTCCCATACACCTGTGCCTTCCCCTGTGAGATGGGGACGGCAGCCTCGAGATGATGACACAGAGCCTCTCCTCGGTCCGGCACTCCCGTTCCCAAAGCCAGGTCCCACCACCATGTCGCCTGAGGCCCCAGCCGCCCTTGACCCCCGGGCCAGCACATTGCACAGTTGCGGTGAGAGCTCGGTCCCACTTATGTCTGGCTCTAAGGGACAGTCCCCTGCAGCCCCCATCCCACAGGGCAGGTGCCCTCATGGAGGCCGAGCAATTTCAGCAGACACGTGAGGCAGGGAGGTGAGGTGACGGGAGACACAGCCCAGAAGTGTCTCCCACGGAGGGATGGTAGAGACGGCGGGCTTCCTCGACCCTCGGCCTGCTCTGCACTGTCTCTCCAAGGAGCCAGAGGGGACAGAGCCCCCGGTGTCCACGAGGGTAACCTGCCCGTCACCACACCTGCTTTGGAACAGGTCTGAGGATGTGATCACACAGCCTTCCCTTCCTGACTTACTCCCTGTCTCCTTGCCCCATGCTGCCTAAGGCTACTTCCCCGTATTCCTCCTTTCCTCAGTCCTGCAGCCTCTGGGGTGACCCGCTCCGCCCTCTGATGCAGCGGGGTGGGGGGGTGGGGGGGCTAACAGGAGCCAGGCAGTTGCTCTTCCATCGGCTTGTCTGGGCGCCCCCGCCCTGTGCCCAATGGGGGTGGGGGACAGGAGGAGCCAGATTTGGGGGCAGGAGCCCTGGGGGGACAGGGGTCCCTCCTCTTTCCACCCAGGGGTCACCTTCCGGGCATCCAGGCCCCCCCCGCCCCGGTCACTGAGACCCACACCCAGACCAGCCGAGACCTCCAGATTTCTTGCTTTCCCCACCCCAGGAGGCTGGCCCAGCCCAGAGAAGGCCATCCTGAGCCACTGAGGCCCCAGCAGCACCCAACCCCTGGGACCAGGCTGCTCGGGCCTGCTGGGCTCCCCAGGGCTAGGCTGGTACCTGATGCACAACCCTCACACACACCCGCCAGCTCCCTAGGCCGGGCCCCCCAGGCCGTCTGACCTTGGCCTCCAGCGTGGTTAGCCGCTCACTCATGTCGCTGAGCCGGGTACAGTTCATGCATTCTGAAAGAGAAGGGTGAACATGGAGTGTAGACCCTGGGGTGAGAGCAGTCAGCCGCCAGGACAGCCTCTGGGCCGGCAGGCGGGGAGCTCTCTGATCAGTCTGCCTGGAAAACTCTTACCCAGCCTTCAGGGTCTTATCCTCAGAGCCCCCTCCTCCAGGCAGCCCGCCTGACCTCGGGGCACCCACAGCACATTGTACTGCCCGCTTATTCAGCGAAGTGTCCGAGGCAGCACCCCAGGTGCCTGGTCAGCCTGCGAGTGCCATGAGGGCGGGGTCTTTGTCTATTTTCTTTGCCCACAAAGCAGGGGCTCAAAAAAATCCAATAACTGATAAATAGGTGGTAAAGGGGATGGGCTCCCTGCCTTTGAGAACTCAGTCTGGGGAGGGAGATGGGCAAATGGGTACAGACTGGTAAGGGCTACGCTAGGGCTGGAAGAACAGAATGTGTAAAAGAGCATCACGGGGGAACAGCAATGCCAGTTTGGGGTGGGGGAGGTGGTGATCAGGGAGGACATCCTGGAGGCAGGGGCATCTAAGGGGAGGCCTGAGGGAGGCACAATGATGGCCCGGTGAGGAAGGAGGGCTGACGTCTGGAGACAAGCAAGAGTGGAGAAGGGTCTGGCAACAGGCTGGCCGAATCAGAGCGGACCCAGGGACCCCCCGCCCATGCCCGAGGGCCCCCCACATCCCAGACTGGAGCGGTGGGCTGGGGCCTAACACTGGAGGCCTGGCAGGAGGAGCTCTGGGCAGCGTCCTGAGGCCAGTGCGCAGCTGCTGGAGGGGCTGAAAGTCAAGGTCAGATTTGCATTTTTAAAAGCTCACTTGGGCAGCAGCGCAGACACTGGGTGGGTGTGGGAGGGACGGGAAGCCGGAAGGCCAATTAGGAGACTGGTAACAGTTAACCCCCCAGGCCCACATCTCCCTGGGCTATAATTATCTATTTATGTCTGTCTGCCCCAGGGACTGGAGCTGTTTAAAGAGGAACTGGATGGTTCAAAGCTGTTCTCAAGAGCTTTTATTGCTCCAGAATTCGAGGGATGCCTAAATCTCTCCCTCGGTTCACAGCCTGACTGACCTTCCAGGAACCTCATTCTGGGCCAAACAGACACACTGAGGTATGAGGGTAGCTCAGTGGGTCCCACCTGGTGTGCCAGGGCTGACCATCAGCGGCCCAGTGGCCGCGGTGAGGCCTGAAGCTCACCAGCGGTGTCCATACCTGTCCCCCCCAATGGCCTCCCCTGTCCTCAGAGAGGTCCCCCAACTTCATCTCGGCAAGCAAATCCCCTCATTGACGTCCCTGGGTTGCAGTGGTGATTGCTCTGTGAGACACATGGAGGACGGCCGGGAGTCTTCGGACCAGGGTTCAAGCTGTGTCCTCCCCAGGGGTGCCGGGCCTCAGGGCAAGGGGGGCTGAGCTGGGGCCGTCTGCTCGCCAGCCCTAGTTGGGTTTACAAGACGTGGGCTGGCAGAGGTCCCACTCCCCCTCACCTCCCTCCCCGGCTCCCCTGGGCTGGGCCCACTCAGTGGTTTATAAGCATTTTTAAAGAACAGAACCCTTTTTCCCCCCAATAAAACCCTGTCCATAACCCCGAAACATAAAACAGATTAGAGACTAAGGTATAAACACTGAAGCTTCCAAACAACTAGAAGAATGTATACAGTTTCGGGACGGGAATGGGAAACACTTCACAAAGGACCAGGGAAAGAGAGGGGGCGGGTTTTCTGCTTAAATGTTGGCGGGGGCGGGGGGGGGTGCTGAACCCACATGTTTCTTCCTCCCTTCTCCCAGGAAAGGGTGGTGAAGAAGGAAAAAGGGATAAAAATCCACAAAGCAAAGAGAAAGGCAGAGGAGAATTCTCAGCGGATGAGGCCAATAACGCAGCCAGGGGCCCGGGCCCACCTGGAAAGCGGACATCAGGGCCTCCAGGCTCCCCTGAGGCCGGGACAGCACCAGGCAGGCGATGTGAGGGGTCCTCCCTGGGGACAGACACAGGCCTGAGGGGAAAGGCCCACAGGTGCTGAGAGAAACGGGCGGGGTCTCCCAAGGCCCCCAGTCAACAAGGCCAAATCACGGACACTGCCTCCCTCTTTACAAACAGACAGCTCAGGATTCCCGAGCCTTAAAAGAAGCCTTTAATGGAAAGACAGAGATCAAAACAAATGGGGCCCCACTCATGCACCCACTATCCCAGCCCCAACTATCTACGCACCCTCCACTCATCCCCCCCACCGCCTACGTTACCCCCAACCCCACCCCCTCCCTCCACCCCTGCACCTCCCCAACCATGCTCAGGAGCCCCTTGGAGACCGATGAGGTGGGTGGCAGGGCATTATGAATGAGGGTGCCTGTCCTCAGAGCGAAGGCCCACAGACCTTCCCCTCCTCTGGAGGAGGACCGGCCTGGAGGACTGTGAAAAGGGACTTTTCTGCCTGAGCCCAGGCCCCCTCCGTGACCAGGAGGGCACCACCCCACCCTGGGGGCGGCAGGAAGAGCGCGAGGCAGGACGGATGTGGGTGAGCTGAGAACTAGAGCCCCATTCTGACCCAGTGAACATTTCTGAGGCGTTTAGGGGCCGTTCACAGAGCATTTCCAGGGTCTGAGGCCACAGACAGGACTCTCTGCAGGGGGGAGATTCTGTGGAGGGAGGGGTGAGCCTCGGGCTCTCGCAGGAACCTATTTCTGGAAAGTGTGCTGGGCCCGGGCCCAGTTTGCTCTGGCACTGGGCACGCCTCTTGGCCGGTGAGGTGCGGCTTGGCTGGCAGCGGGCACGGCGGGGCGGGGAGGGGTTCCGGTTCCCCAGCCACAGAGAGGCCAGGAAGGTGCAGCCAGCGGGCAGGGGTGAGGCTGCCAGCCAGCCTCCCCGTGCCACCTGCCTGGGCAGGCGCTGAGACCAGCCGGGTTGTATGGTTCCCCTGGCATTCTGTCATCGACAAGCAATTATATTATGTTTGTTTAAATTTTTCTAACGATTCATGGGAGTGGTGGGGACAGAGGAATGGCACCAAGGATGCTGACTGGCACGCTGAGGGGACCAGGCCCTGCCCACTGGCTCTGGGCCTCGGTTTCCCCTTGCTAAGATGAAGACTCTCACTTCCCGAGATTCGGAGGGTTCCCACGATCCCAGCCCCCTCGTAGCACACACAGGCCCACAAATGCCCAGGGCCACAGCACGTTCCTGGTGTCTAGGATGCAGGAAAGTGTGCCTGGAACTCTTTGCCAATATGTGTGTATCAAAGTGTGGATGTGCGAGGCAAACCAATGTGTGTGTGTGTGTGTGTGTGTGTGAAAGAGAGCGAGAGAGAGAGAGAGAGAGACTCACTGCTTGGTGCTGTTAGTAGAAAGAGAACTGTAAGGCCACTAACTCACTGTGAGGCTGGAGAGGGCTTCATTGGACCTCTCTGCCCCTCGGTTTTCTCATCTGTAAAAGGGGGTCTATATTGGATCAGCTCCAAGGGCCTCAGGATCCTGCTCCCTGTGCCCTTGCCCTCCGGCTCTCACCGCTGGGCTCTGTCCACCCACTGCCAGATGGTGCACCTGCTACTCCACCGGCCCCCTGCCCTTCAGCCAGCACAGCCACCGCTGACGGTTCTGCACCCAGAATTCAGGACCCAGCTCCCGAGTGAGGCGACTCCCCAGGCCTGGGCCCTAACGGGAGCCTTGCCGACTGCAGAGAATACGAGAGGCCGAATGAGACCACCGTGAGGCTGGGGCCACAAGACCCTGACGGGGGGGAGCGAGGGCACACAGGTGGTCCTGCCCCCAGACACCCAGCCCCCTCTGTGAGAGGTCTCGGAGATGGGTCCACAAGCAGGGAGCACGTGGAGGGTGGATGTCACCAGGAGACCAAGCTGGAAGAGATCCCTAAAATCCCCCTGGAGACCTTTGACTCCAGCCCAAACTCCTAAGCCCTGTTAGGAGAGCTCCAGGCAGGTCAGTGGGGTCAGATGCTGGGGGGGCAGGGGGCGGGGCTGGCCAGGTGTGTTCACAGGAGACCACAGGAACGAGGAGGTCCTAAGTGGCCTCAGTTTCCCCAGTGTGACAAGAGCTGGGCTGGGCCTAGCACAGACAGGACTGGTACCTTTCTGTTTTACTACATATGGGGTCAGCCCTGCTCCACCCGAGTGTAGTCTTGGGCCACACATTCTTTTGATGCCTCCCTCCTCCCCACTGGGGCCTTGAAGGCCATGTAGGACCTTCCTCTACTGGTGAGACTTTGGTCATCTCACTCTGTGCTGGAAACTGTTGTCAGGGGGAAAAAGGGCTTGTCCTGAGTAGGCACAGATTTCTTTTGCCTTCTCACTCACACCATGCCGGCCAGCCAGGCCACGCCCCCTCCGGCCAGGCCACGCCCCTCCCATCAGACCACGCCCCTCTGGCTAGGTCACAGCCCTTCCAGCCAAAGAGAGAAGACCTGGATGTACAGTGACTAAGGGACCAGTGCTAACTCCTGCAGGGAAACCTATGAAAAGATGGGTCTGCCCGCCCGTGGGGTTCAGCTCCCAGCGTCTGACTACTAAATATGCATTCAGAGCCTCTAATGCAAATGACAAAGACCAAAACAACAAACAGGGAAAAAGTAAGCTCAGAAAACAGAGACGATGAGTGGACAGAAAAAGACTTCAAAAAAGCAAAGCCAAACTCTAATATCCTTAGAGAGATATGAGAAGATACCGCATCCTGAAACGACAGGAGGTTATTTACAAAGAACCTTCAAATCACAAAAATGCGTTTGTAGAAATGGAAGAAAAATAGCTGATGTAAAAATATTCAGTAAAAGGATTAGAAAATATGGAAATTTTCTAGAAAACTGCAAAAAGGGGGCTCTGACAGTTGGAGGGAAAAGATAAGAAAATTACAGGATCAATCCAGGTCTAACAACTAACTAACTGGAGGTTCCAGAGAAAGAGACCAGAGAAAATGGAGAGAAGTAAAGAAATGATCCTAAAGGTCACCTAAAACTGACGGATATGAACTTTCAAACTGAAAGAACATGCAAAA